CACTGTATCCATCTCCTGAACTCTTTTCATCTTGCAAAACTGAAACCTCATACTCATTACACAACAACACCCATTTTGGTCTTTCCCTAGCCTCTGGCAACCACTATTCTACTATCTGTCTCTATGAGTTTTGTCTACTCCAGGTTTTTCATATAAGTGGAATCATACAATATTTGACCTTTTGTATCTGGCTATCTCACTTAGCATAATGTCTTCAAGGTTCATTCATGTTGTAGCATGAGTCAGAATTGCCTCCCTTTTTAAGGCTGAATCATATTCCACTGTATATGATAGGGGGAAAGGTAGGTAATAGGAATAGAACCCCCGTTGTTTAATGATTATTCACCTTACTGACTATAGATAAGAGGTTTTCTTACAGACCCTGGGGCACTGGAGGATGTGCTGCAAGAAGGAAAACAGGGCTGTGAGAAGATAAGATGCCTCAAAGCCCGGATGGGTCCATTACTCAGAAAAGAAAATACATTTTGAGAACAAAGGACAGGACACACTGTCTTGGTTGCCTGGACTCTGACCCCTCTCAGGAGTTTGATTCAGGAATGCTGACCATTCTCTGGTCAGCTCCGGAGTGGGTGGAGCTGTTTTAACATCATAGAACATTAACTACCTTCAAGATCCTAGACTTCAAGATCCTAGAAAGAGACACAAGAACCACCAACCCTACAACCCTTACCCTGCCCCCCTAACCCCTGCCTTGCACGCAGCCCCTTTCTTACTTATCTCTATATAATCAACCAACTAATAGGAGATGTTAGAGCAGAATTTATAGGATGACCAATTGCTCTTCCCATACTGCCAGCATTATTGGAATAAATGCTCATATATATAAATCAACCCTGTCTGCTTAATTTGGCTCAAGTAGTAACAGGCGGCCTCGGACCCATTGTGTCTGGTTTCACACACACACACACACACACACCATGTTATGTTTATTCATTCATCCAGAGATGGAAACTTGGGTTGCTTCCACCTTTTGGCTATTATGTATAATACGCTATAAGCATGGGTGCACAAATATAGGGTGTACAAATATTGGTTTGAGTTTCTGCTTTCAATTCTTTTGTATATATACCCAGAAAAGGAATTGTTAGATCATATGGTATTTCTATATTTAATTTAACTTAATTTTTTTAAATTTATTTTTTATCCTCACCCGAGGACTTTTTTTTTTTTCAATTATCTTCAGATAGAGTGGGAGGGAGAGAGAGAAAGAAACATCGCTGTGAGAGAGACACATCGACTGGTTGCCACCTGCAGGACCCCAACTAGGGCCAGGAAGAACTGCAACTGAGGTACATGCCCTTAGTGGGAACCAAACTCCGGACTTTCTGGTCTGTGGGCCGATGCTCTAACCACTGAGTCAAACTGGCCAGGCCTCTATATTTAATTTTAATTGTGCTTTTAAACAGTTATGAAATCATAACACTCTAAATATTACAAGAAGGGGAGATATTTTATAACCCCTTCCTGAGAATGGTGCTAAAATCTCTTCTCTGGGGGTAAACTCTGCTAGTGATGTGATGGGGAAAAGGAGCAGAAAGCACACTGAACCCCACTGCAGCTGGTGAATGGGGTGAGCTGGTCGTGCTGCACCCTCCCCGTGACAGTGGAGAAGTCTTTCCAGGCAGGTGGAGGTGCTGGCTGGGTCTTGAAGGTGGGGGTGTCAGTGACCTAGGACACTGATTTCTATTAATCAAAGGGGCCTCCTTATACCTCAGCTGGGCCACAGACTTTCAACCTCTTCTTGGGCTGGTGAGAAAGGAGAGGGGAAGGTTTCAGGAAATAAAGAGCACCTTCCAGTAATTATTGATTAGTCTGGGCCAGAGGCCAGGGGTGGGGTCTGCATGGCCGACCCATCCCTTGCACTTTTAGGATTATCATTGCCCTTAAAAGGTGAATAGAGAACAAAGGGTATTGTTTTAAAATCTCCCAGTTGAGAATAGCCCTAATACATCAACCCAAGCCCAAGGGTTGGGGGAAGGAAGGGAATTAAAAAGAAATTACTCTTTTGAGTCAGGATATCTGGATCTTGACCTGCTTTCGTTAATTGCCGATGTCACCTTTGCCAAATCACTTCACCTTTTGAGGCTGGAGAGAGGAGGAGCAGATGATAAATAAGTGCCTTTTGGATTCAAACAATCTATGAATTTATTCTGTGGGGCCTCCAGTAGACCCCTGACTGTGGCAAACTTTAAGAAGCTTAATCTCTTCAGGTCAAAGGTGAGAGAGGACTTGCTTGCCAAGGAGTCTGAAAGGAGCTGAGCCACCCAGAACTTCCCCCTCTAGGGGCGACCGAGGGCAACTGCAGGAACACACCCGGGTTTGAGAAGAGGCCCAGGAAGGGGGCCTCTCAAATGCCAGGTTCTGCTCCTCTCTACTCTCCCCTCCTGGCATACCTATTCCCCCCAACCCACCCACGAGTGTCTGTTGTAATGGGGCAGACAGCTGTCATGCAGTGTCCTTGGTCCTGTTCCGCTGCACCCTCCCTCAGTGCAAGTTCTGGGCCAGGAGCCAGACCTTACTCGCTACCACTGACCAGTTGTGCAATCTGGAACAAGTCACTTTACTTCTCTGAACTCCAGTGCACTCATCGATATCTCCTAGTCCTCAAGGTTAAGATGTTTAAAGGAGATTGTGTCTGAAAGCGCTTTGCAAGCAGCACAGTTCCCGAGAGAGGTGCCCCGATGGAAGCCCTCATTGTTCCTTCTGCTGCTTGACTAAAATCCCTACCCCTACCCTGTCTGGTTCTCAGCTGTTCGCTGGTGATTCAATATCCCCGTTACCACTCTAGGCAAATCTAGATAGGCCTGAATCTTCTCCCCGTCCTGGGTTGAGAAGCCAGGCAAGAGACCTGGTGACCCCATGGATGTAGTCAGATCAGGCTGCACTGTACAGGTATGTTTTCTTCTCTTCTTTATTAGTGTTTTCCATAATAAAACACTGGAATGTTGCCTCATGAATTTTGAAATTCCATTTAGCGCAGAGTTCAAGTGGGCTATGACCCAGGACAAGGAGACCTTGCTCAGGTGAGAAGTCATAAATAATACTGTAGAAACATAATTATATTCAAAGCATGGAGATGCAGAATATGAGAAAAAAAGATGGACCAGAGCTTTTAATTGGAACTATAGTATTAATAATTTGCATATTGTTGCTCTTATATTAAAAAATCGGGCAACAGAGGCTCAGAGAGTTTAAGTAACTTGCCCAAGTCACATAGCCAGCAAGTGGCAGAGCTGGGATGGGAACTTGGTCTGTTTGACTCCAGAACAGTTACTCCACCTGCGGGTTTTAGAGGGGGAGGCCCACTTTTGTGGGGTCAGCCAGGTGGGGTCTAAGACACTTGTTCTTGAGCTTCAGCATCCCTCTTTCGAACGCTCCTATCTGAGCACAAGGCTTTCTGCAGCCTTCTGGTTTCAGGCAGGCAGCTTGTAGTCCCCCTTCGATTATTTTTAGGTCTGCATCTTCCACAAAGTTCAGGGGCTACCATAGTGGGAACCACCTTCCAGCGCAGAGGGCTAGTGGCCGAAAGATCTGCCCTCCAACATGCCTTTCTTTCCCTCTCTGCAGGTGTGGCTGATGTAAATCCACCCCAACCAGACTCCATCAAGGGTGGGTCAGGGCATGTACCTGGTTCTGCCTGGCACTGCTGATGGGTGGTTCCCACAGAGAGCCCCAGATGCACAGGGTATGAGAGCTGCATTTCAGGAGCTCTGTCCCTTTATGCTAGGTCCTATCCACTTGGGGGCTCCTCCAGGCCATGCCCATTCCAGCTGCCCCAGGAACTTTGATCCTGGTTAGGGTCAGCTTGAAGTCCAAAGTGGAAAAAGCACATTCTAATGAGCAGTTGCTGGTCCAGAAGCTTCTCAGCCTAGACCTTATTTCAGTACTTTTATTTCCCTTCAAATTGAGCTCTGAGGCCACTCTATCAGATTCAGGGTCCCTGGGGAACCTTTGTGGGCCCTTTCAAGAGGTCTTCATGGTCACTTCTGAAAGCCAAGTACCAGTTTCTATCTATAAAATCAGGAAGGTGGAATATGCAGATTTTGACATTTATTGGGCATCTGTGACCCAGACCCTATGTCAGGTGTATCCATGCCATCTCCTGAGCATAACATTTCTTTCTGACAGATGAAGAAACTAAAACTCAGAGACTTTGAAGAGCAGTCACAGACAGTAGGTGGAGGTCTGGAAGGAGCAAGGTCTCTGCCTGCCTCCAGAGCCCCGACCTCTCCTTGCTGGCGCTGCAGCCTTTGGGGCACAGGCAGGCCCAGAGAATAAATGCGCCTTTCCAGCAGTGAGTCTTTTGGTGTCCATGCCTCAAGCCAGATCGATTAAACCAGAAACTCTGGGGTTGGGACCCAGACACTGGTGGCTGTTGGGGCTATCCAGATGATTCCAGGGGCAACCTGGGCTGGAGCGCTGCTTGACAGTAACGGGGAGAGGCACATCGCCTGTTCCAGGGCTCTCCAGGTGCTGCCTTCACTGCGTAATCCAGTTCACGAAACCAAAAATCAAAACCGAGGAGTGGTGACTTAGTCAATAGAACGAGGGGGGCGGGGATCGTCCCTGCCGAGCTCGGGGTCTCTTGCCCCGGGGCTCAGGTGTGGCGCCCGGGCAGGAAGCCTGCGGTCAGCCGGTGCGTGGGGCTGTTGCACCATCCGCTCCGGCTTTCGTAACAGCACCCTGGGGCGGCCCAGAGACGCCCGAGCGCGAGTTCCTCAAATGTTTTCCTGCGTTGCCAGGACTGTCAGCGGCTCTGAGTCACGTGCAAGTGGGAAGTCGCAGTGACACGGAGCCGGGCAAGTAGGAGCTAAGCCCAGCACGGCGCGGGGCTCGTGGACTCGCCTAGAGTGCAGAGCGCAGGCCCCCCGAGGATGGGGGCTGCCCTCGGGGCCTGAGCCCGCCCGCCGCCCCGCCGCCGCCGCCGCCCCGCCCGCCCGGTTCCGACCCGCCCGCTTCTTTGGGACGATGGGCCACTAGTGGAGGAGGAAGCATGCTGGCCGTCCGCTGTGCGCTGCTCACCGCCTTGCTGGCCGCGCCTGGCGCTGCACTGGCCCTAGGGGGCTGCCCCACGCTGGGTAAGGGCTTCTCGCACACCTGGAGGGCTGAGCCAGCTGGCAGGTGGTGGAAACCACTGTGGCCACCGCAGATGGGGGTTGGCGGGCGGGGGGGGGGGGGAAACGGAGGGGTGACGGCTCCCGTTTCCGTGGCTAGCTTAGGTCCCCGCGAGCATAAGGTGCGGGCTCCGGGTGATCCGGCTGTTTCGTCGCGGGCGGAGGCTCATGTGCTCCTCGCTGCGTCCTGCGCCTTGGGAGGTGCACTCTCCTAGTCATTGCTCTGTGGCCGGGAAGCTCTTCGCTGTGTGAGCACAGGACTTGGTGTGTTTTCAGAAATCTGATTCTCGGGTCTCCTTACAGTATCCCCAGGAGACTTCACACAACTGCGTCCAGGTGGCTCTGAGGGCAGATACACCAGCCTGGTGGAATTCCCACCTAAGGCGCCTCTCTAGGCTCAGCTTTGAGATAGTTGTGGGGGGCACCCCCTCTGGTTCTCCTCTCAGCCCCAGGCTGTATGTGTGGATGACAGTGCCCTGACTATAAAGGGACTGACTTCATGGGAGCTGAGTCACAACCGTCTAGATGCTTGTACAGGCTCAGCCAACACCAGCTCTACAAGCTGTGTGCCCAGCCCTGGGCTTTTGATCTAAGTGGGGAGGATGGCCAGGGATTGGGATATCTTGGCGCTGGCACACACTGGACTCCACTTCCAGAGGGGAGAAGGAGGGTGAGGCAGAGGGCAGGGCGCACTTTTGCTCCTATTGACCGTAATCTGCCCCTGGCAGTGTGCCCAACTACGTGTCTAATCTCTCTAGTGCAAATAGGCAACTGCTCCTCCAGAGGTTTATTTTAGGGTCTGAGGTCTTCTTCGAAGACACAGTGGAAAACCAAGGGGGCAGGCTGATCTCTCCTGCTGGGAGATAATGCCCTGGAGCTGGAGACTAGTGTGCTTGCAGCTCTGTGTTCTGGATGGTTGTGTTCCTCATGCTTGGAGGTGCAAAGTAAAAGGATTCCTTTGCTCAGCACACATTTACATCTCATCCCTACAGCACAGGTGGTCACTGTTTATTGAGGCTTCCTGTGCTTTAGTCATGTTCTCGAATCCTCCACTGGATCTAAATACACTTGGATCCAAAGAGGAGACTGAGGTTCAGAGAGGTTGGGATGGGAGGTTGTCAGGCCTTGTTGGTGGTCCCCACCCTCCATGTCCCTGAGCTCCAGTGTGGTAGATCCCCAAGCCTCCCAAACGTAGAACTAGCCCAGCAGGAAGAGCTGGGAGGTGTGCTGGGAGGGCTGAGAGTAAATCCCAGTTGGCAGCGCTGGGGCAGAAGCAGCCTTGGGAAGGGAAGTGGAGGCCTGGGCTTGCCCACCATGGTATCAGGGATATAGAGCAGGGTTGAGGCAGGTGTCAGGAAGGAACAAGGCTCTTCTGCCTGCCTCTGTTGCTACTCACACCATAACCAGGGCACCTGCCCCAGGGAGTTTACTGCTGCAGCTGTGGCTTCCTTTCACCACTACGTGATTGCAAGGCACTGGGAGCCCGGCAGCTGCCGTCTGTGCTCCGTTCCCTCAGGAGGGACGGGTAAGGTGGTCTCAAGGCCTGGACAGCTTGTGAATTCAAGGCAGAACCGAGAGTTTGGGGAGGAAGTGAAAGCCCTCCCAGTTCAGAAGGAAAATACAGAGATGTAGAAAATACCCAGTTCCCCTCCTACACCCACACAGACTCAGAGTAAAAATAAAGACATTGTACAGGAAGCATGGAGCAAATGACTGTGAGATGTCTCACTTTGGAGAAGTGAGGGGCCGAGGGGTAGCAGTGGCTGGAATTGGTTTAGAGGGGAACTCCACTGGCTCTCTGGGCTGTGGGTTTTTATAACCAGGAGGCCTGTTTTCCTTGGGATTAGCAGCTGCCCGCATGTCCTGGAGCTCAGGTAGACTTGCCTTGTTGGGGCCGGGGCCAGCTGGGACTGAAGTGTTGGGTGTGGAAGACCTGGACACAGGTGACTCCTTTGGTCTTCTGCAGTTTGATAGCACCCAAAACAAGCACATACTCCTTTGTCAATGAAAATCTTGTCTCAACTTCTGAACTTTCCTTTAGGGCAATTTCTTCCTGCCCCAAATGCCTACTTTCCTAGCCTTACAAAAGGGTCATTCTGGGCCTAGTTGCAACAGAATTGGGGTGTGTGTGTGTGTGTGTGTGTGTGTGTGAAGGGTAGGGGTGGGGGCTTGACAAAAATGCTGGTTCTTGGCTTCAGATTTACCCAAGATGAATATCTGGGAGTGAGTCTTGGGAAATGTCCTTGTCAACAAATGTCTCTTGTGATTGGTAAGTTTGAGGAATGCTGGACACATAGTGTGATTGAAGAACTGAACTGAGGCCCTCCCCCAATGGGCTTCTAGTTGCCAGAAATCTTTTCCTGCTTTGGCTCTGACCTTGTTTATTCATTGCAGCAAACATTTATTGAGTCCATGTAAAGCCTTATTGGGCCTGTGTGAGGTTAGCCACCCAGACGCCACCCTAAAGGAGCTTGAAAATGGTTAGGTATAAATCCCTGAAAGGGACTGAGGAAACCCAGTTCTTTGACCCATCCTGCTCAGTACCAACTACCCAAAGACAAATTGTCTGGGGGGTGGGGAGGCTCCTCTGATTGAGGACTAAACCCCAGGGCAGCAGGCACATTGACCCTCACAGTGTTACCTCATCCTGGAACTCGGCAAACAAATCCTCCCCTCACAGCGTGTTTGTAAGGATTACACAAAGTGGCCTGGGTTCTCACAGCTGTAAATATGTGCCCCTCTCCCCTCCCCTGTCTCACTAGGCCTGCAGGCCACCAACCCCATGAGTGAGAGCATTCCTGTCACAAATCTGGGCTTTTCCAGGTCAGTCTTAAAGGCTACAACTCCGCTCTCTAATACGGTAGCCACTTACTAAGAGTGCCCGTGTACATTTAAATGAATTAAAATGAAATCCTACTAAAAGTGCAGTTCCTTAGCTGCGTTAGCCACATTTCAAGTGCTCAATAGCACATGTGACTAGTGGCCTCCAAACTGGGCAGAACAGATGGAGAGCACTTTTATTACTGCAGGAAGTTCTATTGGGCAGCACTGGTCCAGTGGAACTCCCAGAGATTTTCTGTTGCTTCTTCCTTTATCCCTTTCTGGTCCTTCTCCACCTGAACACAGCTCATCTTGTATAGGTAATGCTAAGGCTTTGGAGCTCGACAGATCTCTGCCCAGCCCTGCCAGGTACAAGTGATATGAGCTTGGGTGAGTGATCTTACTGCTCAGAGACTCCCTGTCCTCATCTAGAAAACATGCATAATTACACTGCCTTACAGGGTGGTTATGAAGATATAAATGAGTTAGATTGATAAACAAGTCCTTAGTGTAGAGCAAGTGCTTAAGTAAGTGTAGCTAATAATTCATTCATTTGAAAAAAATAGTTTCAGCTCCTCATGTGTTCCAGGTATTATTCTAAGAGCTATAGATACAGCAACAAGCAAAACAAACAAACATTCCTGGCTCATTGGAGCTTCACTTTGGTGGGAATGTAAGTTAAATATGTAGAATGATTGTGACTAGTGCTAAGGAAGAGAAGTAAAGCAGGGGAGAGAGACAGGAACTGTGTGCGTATGTTGAGAAGGGGGCATGTTGAATTGATCTCTTTGAGGGGAGGCCAGGGAAGTTCTCACCAAGGTGATATTTGAATAAAGACCTGAAGGAAATATAAAAATATTTAGGCCCTGGCTGGTTTTGCTCAGTGGTTAGAGCGTCAGCCCACGGACCAGAGAGTCCTGGGTTCAGTGCCGCTAAGGGCACATAACCTCGGTTGTAGTTCATCCCCAGCCCCTGTTGGGGTTGTGTGGGAGGCAACCAGTCGATGTGTCTCTCTCACATCAATGTTTCTCTCTCCCCCCCCCTCCCGCTCTATCTGAAGATAAATGCAAAAATGTCCTCGGGTAAGGATAAAAAAAATTTTAGGGATGCCCTGGCCAGTGTAGCTTAGTGGTTAGAGCCGCAGCCAGTGCAGCAAAGGGTCGCTGTTTCGATTATTGGTCAAGGGCTAGTACCTGGTCCTGGTTGGGGCACATGCGGAAGGCAACCAATCGATGTGTCTCTCTCACATCAATGTTTCTCTCTTCCTCTCCCTTCCTTCCTCCCTTCTTTTCTCTCTAAAAAAGAAAAAAATTAGTGAATCCTTATATTCTTGTCAAACAAAAATCTTTCATAGCCAAAATCTTTTCGGAAAGAAAGTGTTTATTGAGCCAAATGCTAACCAGAAAAGGACCAGGTCCTGGGCGCGGAGCCCAGCGCACCCGCAGCGGGGCTGGGTGGAGCAGTGTCTGCTGTCCCGGAGTCCACGGCACTTCCATTGGTTATGTTGGTGGGGAAGAAAGAAAAAGATGTAAGTCGTTTTGAAAGAATTTACACTGGCTATAGATAAAGTGGGTCGGGGAGGGTGAAGCAGGGCTGGTTCTGAGATGGGTGCAGAGTTCTTAGGAAGTGTCTGCTCCTTTGGATTGGTGGTAGGCAACAATCTGGAAAGTTCATGCAAAAGCAAGAAGAGAGTCGCCTGGTGGTCAGTGGTGCCGGGCTGTTTTCTTGAGATAATGGTGGAAACAGCCACCTGAAAGTCAATTCAGTTCCACTATATCACTGTGTCACTAACAACTCCCACCCTTCCCGAAGCACAGGGACATCAAGGTCATCCTCTCTGCAGGGTAACCCTCTCCGACACCATGCCTATTGGTGTGGCAGAGACAGACTTGCTCTTGCCCCAGGAAGTGTCCACTGCCCTCTCTTAAGAATTGAAGAGTACTGCCCTGGCCGGTTTGGCTCAGCGGTTAGAGCGTTGGCCCGCGGACCAGAGAGTTCCGGGTTTAGTTCCTGCTAAGGGCAAGCGTACCTCGGTTGCAGTTTGTCCCCGGCCCTGGTTGGGGTCGTGCGGGTGACAACCACTCGATGTGTCTCTCTCACGTCAATGTTTCTCTCTCTCTTCCTTCTTCTCTCCCTCCCACTCT